CGCCTCTCCCAAAGGTACCGCGAGAAGTCACATTCACAGGTGCGTCTCACCATCAGCTTCTGGAGCTCGTGTGAGCGTTGGCTGACCTGTGTGTCATGTAGCTCACTGGCTAGCTGTGGAGGGGGTTCAACCGTCAATACCTCAAAACCCAACTTCGAACGAAGCAAGGCATCTCGAATTGGTGCCTAAAGGACCCAACGCAAACCCTGCCCTGGCTGCAATGAGCGGCACCGACAACACCACGACGAAACCTCAGGTCAAACACATCCTGTCGAAAGAACTACAGCTATACTTTGAGAAGGTGTGCGCATCGGTGCTGGACGAGACGCAGCCAGAGTATCGCACGGCAGGATTGGCGAGCTTGAAAGAAGATCCTGGTCTACACCAACTCGTGCCTTATTTTGTGCAGTTTGTGGCGGAGAAGGTCACACACAATTTGAAGGATCTATTTGTGCTCACCCAGATGATGATGGTCACGGATGCCTTGACCCGGAACGACAAACTCAATCTAACTCCATACGTGCGTGCTCTTGAATTTGACAGCAGCTTGCGCTGGCGGTGACTGACTGGGATGGCAGGTTGCCTCGATGGTCCCTCCTGTATTGACCTGCTTAATCGGCCGCACCCTAGGCACTGGCATCGGAGCGCTAGATCACTACGACCTCCGCGATCTGGCTGGGGCGCTTCTAGGTCACCTCTGCAATAAATACTCCAAATACTCACACAACCTCAAGCCGCGACTGGCGCGATCCTGTCTGAAGACGTTCCTAGACCCGAAGAAGCCCTACGGTAGCCACTACGGGGCCATCCTTGGATTAAAGGCCATCGGCGGGGCAGAGGTGGTTCGACAGCTAATACTGCCCAATGTCAAAGCATATGGCGAGCTCCTAGAAGAGGACATCCAAGATTCAGGCATGAAGAAGGCCGAGGCGGAGAAGGTTGTCAGCGCGATGCTCAACGCTCTGGGGACATTGGTGGACGACGACATTCCCATGATGAACGGACACTCGGACGAGTCTCTTGCCAACACACGGGCCCAGCTAGTTGACAAGCTAGGAGACGTGATTGGAGGCAGGATCGCAGACTCGGGGAACACACGGTTCGCAAGGGCTGTGCTGGAGGGAGATCTTGCGGGATTATAAGCCAGGGGGAGAGACTCTTTTGAAGCATTTACATGGACAGCAAGGCGTTGGAAGGGGGTTATGGGAGGTTTCGGACGGGAAAGAAAACGGCCACGCAGGTTATGATACCCGGGCATTTGCATTTGAATCACCTGGCGTTTTGAGGCCTGAGGGTAATGGTAGGAGCCAGCCATGAGACCATCATGGGCTGGCCACCCAAGGAGGATTGCAGTGTCTGACGCGTGCCACCAGGAGAACGAACACACTCTCTCACACACATACCCAGTACAAACACATGTGAAAGAGGGAATTAAATCCTCTTGGTGAAGACGAGATTTGCAATGAGGCTGGCGATTCCTACGCACCCATCGGTGACGACGCACCACCAATAAGTACCCAGTACCTCATATTCCTGAGGCAACTATCCATACGGCCGAAGATATCCCTAGCCAATATCGAACAGAACTGATGCTGTAGGGCTGACAGCTAGTCAGTTGTCAGCCCCCTAAACAAGCTCGTGCCACAGTAGCGAGATTTGTATTCCTGTTCCTGGCCATCCCTCTGGTCTCCCACTTGAATCCCTCGGGTCCCCTTCTGCCTCAATTCATCCTTCGCGCTTGGCCTAATGAGCCCCGTCTGGCGCGTCCACCATCTTGACCACCTCGACCCTCCTGGCCTCTTCGGCCCCATCCAGCTGTTGTTCTGCACTGGGTGCCGAGAGTGCCACCGGGTGCCTGGGACGACGCCGTCGACCAATTGCCACATCCATCGAGGCCAGTTGCGATGGCGCCACCGAACATTACGTCGGAGGATCAGCCTCTGATCAGCCTTAGCAGCAGTCAAATCTCCCTGGCTCGCTCAACTCGCTCAGCTCGCTCCCCCGACAGCGTCACCTCAGACCATTCTCGCTTCCTCCGCTTATCCTGGTGGTCCTTGCTCTGTCTGACGTTTCACACCTACAGCAGGTAAGTACTCGCTAAGGACATACATATGGATCCCGTTCGTTAGCGAGAGCGAATCCTTGGTGTGCTCGGGCTTTGTCAACGGCCACAAAAGTCCTGCTGATCGTCCTTCCACACCGCAGGTTCGGTTTCCCTTTTTCCTCTTTTGATATTACGTGCAAGCAACACACTCGTTTCTTCTCTCTGCTTGTTTGTCTACATGCCTGAATCTCTGAAATCTCCTTTGCAGCAATGAAGACCCTCGGCCTGACCACCGCGATTGCGTGGTCTGCCCTTCAATTTCATTACGTTGTGGCCTTGTCCAATATCACTTTCTATTCAGACAGCCAGTGTTCGAAGTTCCTGAGTTGGAAGACGGGTCCCGACGATGGCACTTGTACGCCTTTTCCGACAAACGCGCAGGGCTACCTTAGTTTCATGGTCACCAGCTTGGATCAGACATGCGCAGGTGAGTGCAGAGGAGGAGACGACGAGTGTCTCGAGCTATGCTGATCTATTTGGTAGTGACGGTATATGGCAGCGATGTCCCGTACTGCAGCTCAACGACGCTATTCCTTGCCCCCTTCTCTAACTGCATGACCGCTACAAACGTCAGCCAGTTCTCCGTCGACTGTCAGGACTTGTCGGTTGCAACTTCTGCCGTACCCTCTGTGGTACCCACCGGAGCTCCCAACCCTTCTACAGGAACGACTTCATCTTCATCTTCCAGCTCTGACTCGGGTCTTTCCGGGGGCGCCAAAGCTGGCATTGCCATCGCCGCCGCTGTGGGGGGGTTATTACTCGTCGCCCTCATCGTGTTCTTGGTCGTCAGGAACAACCGTAAGAAGAGACAAGACATGGAATCCAAGAGGATCCTAGAAGCAGACTCTCAGCCAGCAGCACCTCCTTACTCTGCTGAAATGCCCCCAAACGAGAAGAAAGGACCGGTGGAGATGGCATCAGCAGCAATGGTGCCTGTGGAAGCTCCCGGGGACGCGCATTGGCCACCTCCACAGGAGATGCCAGGTGACTACATACATTCAGAGATGGAAGGGTCAAGTCCCTCCCAGCAGAAGGACGACATCAAAACCGTGGTGTCATCTGAGAACAAGACCCTGGTGGGGTCCGAAGCAAAGCTGGATGTCAAAGCCATTCCCAAATCAGAACCTTAGCGGGCACATCTCTTGCTCCGTTACGAGGGAATTTCTCAGCTCTCACAACGAGTTTTCCAAACGCGGAATTGATCAACAGATGAGATGTGGAACGCAAGACGAACAAATTCCGCGGTCGTTTTGCTTGGGTCCAAAATGATTCCATAAAGAGTGGAGTACACTATTAACCGCTTAAACAAAAGCGGAGGCCAATCCTTCCACATAGCCCTGCTGCTACCTGGTTTGGCTAAATGCTGACTCGATATCAATCCACCGACACATTTCCTCAGCCAGACCTCATTTGTCGACGCATTGCAGATCCCGATAAGACATAGACTACTTGTCCTGTTTGGGGAATCGGCGTCGTTCCCAGCCGCACATTCCCTGATGAGTTTGGACAGACGTTGAAGAAGGGAGGACGGGGCTCGACAATCTTGAAGTGACTACTCGAGGATTCGTTCAAGTCCTGACGATTGATAATGTGTGGCTCTCAAAACCGAAATTACAAAGACACCATTACTGGGGATCTAATTCATACCAACATGTGCCGTTTGCGGCGACGCCTTTCGCCTTTTGCGGGTCAGCTCCAACCATGGCGTCGCGCATCTTGACGCTGTGTATTGTACGTGGATGTATATATGAGACGTGCACCACAGCCACGGTACAACAACTGCAGCGACCCCAAGTGCAAACAAAGAGTCGTCTACGGAACAAGGGATACGGACTCGCCAATGTTCTAATCTGGGTCCTCTTCGAAGGCTGACTGGCCTTGTCGAAGGAAACCGCCAACATCAACATCATCTCATCCCTCTTTCAACAATATTATATCTTCATCTGATCTATCGACGAGTATGCACGGCAGTCGCCTTTCCCTCTCCCGGCTCAGGACCCGACGTGGACTTGTCCCCGCCACAAGCAGCTAATAGTATCATGGCCATTATTCCACAGCCACAAAATCTGTCTCTCGGACCACGACACAACATGTATTTGCCAGGTTGGGCCGAGTGAGCATCCGAATCCGAACCAGACCCAGAAATGTTTCTTCCAGAGCAAGCGGGAGTGATCGACTTGGCTTGAATCGATGTCATCTGTACTTGAAATGGTCCGGTTCTCTCCAGCTGGTATGTATGCGCTGCGTATGGTGCGCCGTGTGTTGCTCATTTCTGGGGCCCTCTTAATGTGGTGGTTGGTGTACTCTATATGTTACTTCCTGCCCATGTCCTATACTGTACTGAACTATACTATACTTTACCCAACTACAACACGCTATGCCATGTCGTAGTTGAATCACACATGATAACATCACACATCTATCTCTCTATCCATCCCTGGTACGGAGTAGTTGAAAGACTCTCGCCGTAAAGGCCGTTTTTTCTTTTTTTTTCTTTAAGATCGAGTGAGTCGAATGATTTTGGTCTTTCGATATCTCCTATCCGTCTCATCTGTCTTTCTAATCATCTTTTCCTCTCACCTCGTCTCCTCTCCCCCCTCCCCTTCCTCGGACCCTGATGCTGATTCCTTGCCCCGTGACACGTTCCCCCCTGCGTGTTTCACGCCGCTCGCTCGAGGTGAGGAGCGGACACAAGGGCTTGATTTGCGGACCGAGAAAGGGTCGTCTGTCTGCGTTGATAGAGTAAGAAATACCGTCTGCCTTCTAAACTTCATTTACCTTCGATGTCCTTTTTTTCTCTCTCTGCTTCTTCAGAAGTTCCTGCCACGGGGGCTTAATCCCTTTCTTCTCTACTAGCTCTCTTCTTCCGCGTCTGCGTCTGGTTTCGCTTCTGCTCCTACTCTGCTTCTAGCTCCTCCCACTCCTTCCGCTCGCTCTCCCACCACTCAAGACAACTCTTCAAAAACTCCTCCTCGGCCTTCCTCATGTTCCTTTCCCGCTTAGACGTCTCTTCCTTGACAATGGTGTACTTGCTCACCTCCCTAGGCTGTCCGAGGTCGAGTAGGGGATCGAATCCTTCATCGTTTACCCCGAGTGCAGCGACCCCACCGACCACGTCGTCAACATCGTACTCGTCGTCCTGGAGCTCGGCGATCCTCCGCCCGTACGTCCGGGGTGCATAGTCTTCCAGCGTGTCCGGGCGCACGTATCCGTAGAGCATGAACTTGATGTAATGCTTCTCGATTTGCATCCCGCGCCGGAACGCTTCCCTGATTATCAGTTGGTCCGGCCTCAAGAGCACCTCGGGCTCTCGACCAAGTTGTTCGGCGGTACGAAGACCCCAGTACTCCAGCTTCCCCTTGCCCACTTTATCCGGCGGGACGCCGAAGATGCTCAACCCTTCCTCGTCTGCTGCTGGCATGTACTTGTACTTGATCCACTCCCTCAACGCGTCGAATCTAGTCGTCCACATCTCGCGCTTCAACACCCGCAGGACAGTGGTGAAGCTACGCTGCGCTAGAAGCAGTTTCCTCATCCCGTCTCTCTTCTCCCCGCCAACAGGATCGTTGAGTCTCATGTCCAGCTTCGTGAGGAAACAAGCGGAGAAGTACAGGTCCAGATCCGTCACCATGCCCCTGTTGTGGCAGTACCCTATCCGTCGGGCGTTGTCGGGTATGTCTAGCATAAACCACAACCTCTTGAGCGCCAGCGCACACCTCGCGGGGAGGGGGATACCGTCTTCCGCGAAGACGGTCATGATCTCGTGGACGACTTTCTCACGGTGCAGAATCATTTTGAGCCACCGGAACGAGGGGATTCGTCGGGGCAATTTTTGCGTTGCGAGGACGGCATTTGGGTGAGGAATGCGTGCGGCCGGGTCGGAGCGGCAAAGGTGTGCGTAGCTGCGGAACATGAATGCCCGGGCACTCTCGGGCGCTTTAGCGGTCGCTTGGGAGAGGATTGCTGTGGTAAATCGCGTGTCGAGAATGATATGGAAGTCTCTGCAGATCGCGTACAAGCTAATCAGCTCCTTGACAGGGAGGTGTGATGCCAGCGCGAAGCAGAGTTCTGGGTACAGCAGAAAGCCGTGGAAGATGTTGAAGTTCGGGTCACCCGTGCGCTGGTAGACATATGACGGCGGAGGGAGGATTGCTTCGGGTCGTTTGCGTTTGAGAGAATTCCGGGCGAATTGGTGGGCGCGTTCGATCCGATTAGGGGACGTGTAAATGTGGTCTGGAACAAGGGAGTCTGGGTTTGAGACGTGAGAAGGAATGCTAGAGGCCACATAGATGCCGTGATGAGCTGGAGGACGTGGCACACGGGAAGGGAAGCTTCGCAGCCGGCGACCATATTCATCCCGGTCCACATCTACACCAGAGGCTGTGACCTTATTCCAGGGGCCTGTTGGTAGTGTTTGCGATTGCTGCTGGAGTGGACCGGTATCACGGTGAACACTTTGTTGTGCCATTCGTGCTAGACCGGAGCCAAGGGGGTGCTGCAGGCTATCGCCTGTAGCTAGTTCCACGGCCCCTAGCGGGGAAAGAATCTGTGCGGTACGGAAGTTGAAGGGGCATTGTCCTCCAGCTGGAGCGACATGGGGGTTTGAAGGGACACCACCAAAAGTGTAACTGTTTCCCAGAGGACCTGGGGGAATGGGAGCGAAGATGGTGTTAGAGCTTTGAGCAGCATATTGTTCATGGGTATTCGAGCCTGGTGGAAGGAGAGCGTCGACACCGTAGATGGCGTTTCTTCGCTTGTGCCTCGAGGCGGTTTGATCCGCATCGGAGATAGCTGGGTTCGACTGTGGATTGGTGTCTGGTTCGACATTCTCCTGGTCGCTTTCATCGAACTTTCTTCCGTGATTGTCGTCTTCAGAACCCGAATCCAAGTCCGTCTCAGCTTCACTCTCTGTAACATATGCCTGAGGTACAATGCGTTGTCCTTTGTCTTGGCGTTGACTATCGGCTGGAGGGTTTTTCTTGGGGAGGCAGCCTTGTGGTGTGGACTGTGAGGAGGTTGTGTGAAGTGGCGTCGAAAGACCGGAGCCGGATGTCGCGACACCAACGGGGCGTTGAGCCGGATTCGTCAGCTGCGAGATGGCGGGAGTATGAACGGTGGATAATGGAGGAAGACCATTGGCATTAGATTGAGGAGCATCATCGATGTGCCCTGCCGAGCTCTCGGCGTCTGCTTCCGCCTGCTTTCTGTATGGACGCAAGAGGTTGCCGACTTTGCTTTTACCATTACTGAAGAAGCGCGATTTCTTCTTCGGGGGCGGAGTGTCGTCCATATTGGCGAGCGACAGAGAATGCTAGACTGTGAGGAAAGGAAAGGGAAGAGAGGTATTCAAAGGATTGATCATTGACTGGGATATCCAGCTCAAGTGAGTGCCACGCAACGTGTTGTGGACAGGCAGTGGACAGACATGAATAAGAGAACAATATCAAGCACTGGACTCTTTATTTAATGTTGGGGGTCTGGCAGAGGGTTGCCAACTCAGATATGACAGTCACCTGGTTTGCATTCACTTGCCGAGCCCTTGACCTACCTTAGCATAAGAGGAAGAATGCTATTGACGAGGGCGGTCTCCTGGCAGTGAATTAAGAATTTTCACTGAGGGTGCGACGCATTACCTATGATAGAGTTGACGCTGGCGTTAATGTTCTCCCCCAGAAGAATGGTGGACGAGAAGCCGCCGATGATAATGGAGGTTGAGATATTTCAAGATTGTGAGGATGATGCCGAGTACATGCCCGAGCCAGAGGTAGTCGATGGCGAAGACGACGTCGTCGGCGCTCAGACGCCAAAATGGACCTCGATGAAGGCAAGAGAATTGCTCCCTTGAGACAGCTTAGACGGCGAAGCTCTTATACCAGCGTTCCAACATTTTATGCGCGACCGTAGATATACGGGGAAGCAAGAGAACTGCACGCCGCAGACGCAGAATCTAAATCGAATTGCAGTCGACGGCTTTTGCTTCCCTCGCTTCCACATTCCATCATCTCCATCTCGCCCTCGACTATCGTCAGTGGCGGGCTAAGGCAGGTATCGATCTGCCACCGCTTTCAAGATCTCGCTTCAGTCAGGCTTATTCTTTTCCCTTCGACCCAATCAATGTCTTTCGGGCCTGCCGATTTGGACAGTCAAAAACTTGGAATAGAACAGCCTAGATCAACCGGACAGAGGTGCAATGAGAAGGATGGTGCAGTTGGCGCCACAATGTCCCGAGATTGGGTTCCGCCATGGCACACCAGAGCACACTCAGGTCATTTGCTGTGGTTGAAAAGAAGACGTTGTCCTGTCTCCCAGGCTGTACCCATCTCGACATGGAACTCCCACAGAGACACTTCCTGCATTCACCTTTGCTAATCATTCAAGCTCATGCTTGCAGGCATCTCCTGATATGGCCTCGAACTCTCGTGATAGTGCCGCTGAGGCCGAAGACCATGTCAGCCAGCTTCTTGACAGTGCCTTACATGCAAGGGAAAAGGCGAAGGCAAAGACGAAACGACTTCTTTCTGTACAGACTGGTGCATCTTCTGACGCCGAAGGCAACATCTTTTCCGATGCCGCTTTCGATCCTGCCAGAGTTCTTCAAAACTCATCGCCGAAGAGGAAGAAATCGACGTGTCAGGCAATCCAGGATGATTTCAAAAGCATCAAGTACCTCACTACCCATCCACGGCAGCTCATGCGCAGCAAGGCTACTCATATTGCGGCCGGGAAACTTGGAAAACGCCATCCGGGATTGACCTTTGACCAAGATCAGGAACTGCTAGATGCCCACGATGCTCTTGCTCAGGCCGTTTCTAGCGATCCCTCAGACCCGGACACTGATGCCGTCGCTTCTGAGCTCGACGAAGCCCACGATCGCTTGCACAAAATCGAACAGCAGAGGGAAAGCTTGCAGACGGCTTGGATCCTGTCCCGTCATGTTTCCCGCGTCCAAGTTGTTCGCCCAGTATCTCGTCCCGAACGGTCCCAATTCAGGGACGGTAGTAGATTCGAATGGGAGAGATATCTCGGCTACATGGCTCTCTATTACACTCGCGACTTCACAACCGGCTACATTGACGACTTTCGTTCCCCACCGTTTGATCTCGAAGACTTCGCGCGTATTATTGAACGAATAGCCATCACCTCGGCGCCCTGGCAATCCTTTCTTGTCAACGTGCGACACGTCTACATGTGGAAGTCACCTCGTCGGACGGCGAAGTGGCTGGCACTGTTCTGTGTCTTGTGGTACACCCAACATATTGTGGGCTACTTGTATTTTTACATCATCTACTCCACCCTGCGCAACAGATTCCGCACACAGTCCGTGCAGACACTGCGAGAGAGCGTGAGCAGGGCCTTTGACCGGGAAGCCCGCGTGCAAACATGGGGTGAACTCATCCAGAGACACGGACAACATGACTGGCTTGAGCCGTTTCTGGACGAAATCGGCCCAATCATTCAGCTACAGCTAGGTGACTTGGCCGACCTCCTCGAGATCCTCGTCAACTTTCACCGGTGGGAACGGCCGAATCTGACCCTGGCGACCCTCTTCTTTTTCTTCTGTTGTCTTCTCGTCACGCTATGTGCAGATAAGGTGTTCTGCGTCAAACTCGTCTGGTTGATATTTGGCGGTGGTTTTTTCCTCACATACCCGATCGCCACGAACTATCCCAAGTACCGGTTGTTGTTGTCACACTTCAGGTGGGTGTTTTGGGATATTCCCACGCATGCAGAGTTGGCGGTACTGAGGCTGCAAGAAAAGGCGGCCGCCTGGGAAGAGAACGGGTTGAGGGAGTTTGAATTGACAGATGATGATCGAGCGAACGACGATGACAGCGAGTCTCCCCAGCAAGCATTGACTAGAGAGGTCGCATACTCGTTTAATGTCTACGACAACGTCGAAGGACGAGCACGCCTGGTTATCAGCAGGACAAGTTTCACGCTCTATTCCACGGGCGGCCGACAACAAGATCGAAGCTGGCAGTTCTCTTCTCTCTCAGAAATGCGCAAGCTCGACAGCATCGACATCCACTCCAGCTCGAGCCTCGAGCATCTCAGACACCTTCACACGCGTTCGGCCGAGGCGCTGCAGTTCCTTTTTCTCGACGGCAGCAGCACGGATTTGACCATTCTCCTGCACCCTGTCGACCGGGAGCGCGTGTTCAACCTGGTTCTCGCCTTCAGTCGCTTGAGGTGGCAGTGTTTGCAGATGGAGAGACACAACACGACGGCTAGTGAGAGGAGTAATTTGGACAGGGCTATAAAGAGGGCGTTTCATTGACTCGGGGTACAGCATGATAGTGTAGAGCAAAGAGCAATGAGGTCGGACTTGAAGCTGGAAATTTACTCACTTCGTAACCATGTACGGAGTATATCTCTTCAACTGCACTTGCCTCCAAAGCACTTGGGGAGGATCGTCACGAAAGGTGATTTGATCTTCGATACGTACATTCCGGTGTCTGGGGAAGCTGAGGAGTCGCTCATGCCAGTGAGATACAAGACTGGACGACGGCCAACCGACGGCAGCCCTTTTATACCATTGCTCCGTCTCATGCCATCTGACGCCGACGGGACTCCCTGTCGACCGTTGCCGCCTCCCGTATGGCAAGAAGCCCGCAACGAGAAAAAGTATCTCCATGCTCGTCAGTCCCTGTCTTACTTTTTCGTAGCCATGGTGGCCATGCCATTTTCAATGCCGATAGGCTCCAACCCACCTTCGCCACCACGCGACGAAATCGACCGTGGAAACGTCAATGCCCAGCTTCTGCAATTCGCTCGTGTCCAGATGGCAATCATACGGCCTCAACGTCCCATCGGGCCCCGGCTTGCCGCCCTCTTTATCAGGCACGATCCCATCCAGGGACAGGCCCATGATCTCGGCGAATTTCTGCGTGATTCCGTATTTTGTCATGCGGTCCTCGCTGGAAAACTGCAGTATGCGCGGGAGATTCTCCGGGTGCGGCGAGGCGGTGTAGAGTTTTGCAATGTCGAGACACACCCTCGCCACGTCTTCCACGTTTGTAGGGTACCGGATGGCCCAGTCGTCCATCTTCACCTTTTCGTTCTGCGACTTCCACAGGCTGTCCATTAGGACATTGACTGCCGACTCTTTATTGTTTTCCTTGGGCGAGGTCGGCCCGTAGAGCACGGGGACTCTCAACACCACTGTGCTATTGGGGCATTGGAGGACCGCGGTCTCTCCGTCGAGTTTTGTCTGGCCGTAGATGTTTGTGGGCCTGGGGGTATCGGTGGTTTTATAGGGAGCTTGGCCTTGGATGCCGGGGAAGACGTAGTCCGTGGAGATGTAGATGAGGAAGGCATCGTGTTTTGCGGCGCAGGAGGCGAGGATTTCGGTCGCTGTCACGTTCAGCTTGTGTGCTGCTTCCGGGTTTCGGGTGCACGAGTCCGGTTGTCTGTCTGCGGCGCCTACGATCTTGTTAGCTCTAGTAGATCACCGGTCTTGTAGAGGTTCCGCTCTACAGTGGACGACGACTTGAGGTCTGGAGCTTTGCGTTAGTTTTTCTGTAGTGACGCGGTGTACACAAGCCACCCCTACTTGACCTGGTCGAACAACTTGGCGACTGCGTCGGCATCTTGGAGGTCTACCTTGCGGACTGTCTCTGAGGCGCGGCTGAAGCCTGTGCCTGTCGCGTTCCAGCCAGCATTTGAAAAGGCTTTAAGCACTTGACGGCCTAGAAATCCGGAGGCGCCCGTAACGAGCACGGACGGCATTTTGAAGTGGTTGTTGGTGTTAGTGGTGGTGGTGGTGGTGGTGGAACAGAACATTTGGGAGGTCGAGTTGGAGTTGTTTCTTCGTAGCTTGGTAGGTGTAGGTGGTCCTTGTTTTGGCCAGAGCTCTGCTCCTTACGCACTGTACATCTGAGAACTACGCAGCTCTGTTACGGCTGGCACATTGAATCTATGTTGAGTCCTGTTCTAATCACCACCCGGTTGGGTCTGCTGGTGTTGCTTTGTTATGACTATGTTTTCGCTCCAGGCTCCAGCGACGAGTCGTTCGAAGCTGTGCTCCTTTTTTATCCTCTTCTCCATGACTTCGCTCAAGGCGAAGATGACGATGAAAAGGTCATTTTGTCTGGTTCCAAAGATTCCCAAGCGACCCGAAGGCCACAAGGAGCGGTCAAACTAAGTAGTTTTCAACTAGCAATAACACGACATCGGCTGGAGCCTCACTTGTCGCGTATGCCCGAGCACCGGAATGGAGAGCTCAAAAACGAGACGCGAGAAAAAAAAAGAGGCACCTTTTATACCCTGGGAGACATCGTTTCTTGGCGACCATTACCTAAGTAGCAGTCACGTGGAGAATCTTGGCGGGCTCGGCGGCAGCCTAACTCCAACTTGTGGCACCGCCAAATGTCTCCAAAATGGTCGCTAACTCAATAGAGGATAATTTGTAACAGGGCAATGGGGAACCTACTTGATAGGCGCGAGGTACGAGGTACAAAGGTACTATTCAGTAAATTACGAAGGGTGTTACTAGTCCGATGTCGATGGGCCACCTATCCAAATATTGACTGCTTTCGTCCATAATACCCAGTACTCAATCCTCTGTTTAGCCAGCCCGACTGGCCGTGCGCTTCGTGCTGTCAAGCCGCTGATTTATGCCTCCAGCTCTGAGTCCCGACGTCCCTCGTCGCTCTGCTTTTCTCGTTCTTTTGTCGTCCAACATCTATCACAGACCGGAGATTCTCATCGAGATTAGCGAGGAGGAACGGGCAAAGAGAACTCAGGTGTCTCTATAGATGGTTCATTTGTGCGTTGCAAGACCGGCAGCTCGGCTTGTACGACACATCTCGAAACATCCTTTCGATAGTGAAGGCGGCCATCTTTTGGAGACTGTCCTCCTCGCGAGACGCGTTCCCGACGAGCTCTAGTCTGGGCTTGCTCTCGGGGCTCCCAATGACTCTTCCAACCGTGCCGTCCGCCAGCCTCACCAGGTCAGCGACATCCGCCTCCCCAATAGATTGTTTCACTTCTCCGGCTTCCGCTTCACCCGGGCCTCTTGGTTTCTTCCGGGTTACGGGGGGAGAAGCCGCTGTTAGCGAGGTGCTCGATAAGGTCTTTACCATCGCCGTACTCAGAGCTCTGTCATCGGCTTCGCCCTTGAGCTTTTCAACAAAATCTTGTGCGAGAGCCTCGATTTTCTCGGGGTCGTCGCTGACGTCTCCCCCATTGTCCTGCCGGATAATGTTGATGATGTCCAAGCACTCTTCCGCGAATTTGAGCTGCTCTTCCTTTTCGACGAGGAACGCCGGAAGGAGATTGACTAGCGCACGGCGGTATTTACCGAGGCGGGGCTCCTAGAGAAGTTGACACCATATATCGAGAGCCTTCTCTTTGAATTTACAACGGCTCAATGTAGCGCCTACTCCTGGTCATTACCTTACTCATCGATAAAGAGTGAGGAGAGCTCATCGGGCGTACTCTTGCCGTGCTAGGTTATCCATGGTGGTGCTGGACAAATAACACCTTGGAGGGAGAGTGTTGGATGTGCAAGGTGCCAGCCGACATACTCTGGAAGGAGAGTTGTGGGATGAGGAGGGTTTTGGCAACTTAGAGGGAGGAAGATATGAATGAGAAAGTCCAGAAATGGTGGATTTGAACGGATGAAGGCAATGATAAGTGTCGCCGATGGTGAGTACAACAAAAATGTCTGCTTAGCAAACATGCATTCACCCGCCAGGTCTGATTCATAGCTACTGCCTCTTTGAAAACTAGATTCTCTTGCCAAAATATTTTCCTCTCGTGTTCACACGCCAAAGCTGTCAACCGCTAGATCATCCCCACAACCATCCTCACAACCATCCTCAAGCGACCTGCCCTTTCTCCCCCGACTGAAACTTGCCCTATTAGGCTCTAAGGCTGTCTCCATGGCAACACCACACAATTGTCCTGTTTGTGGGAAGGATATTTCAAAGGCCAAGCGCCCTAGGTAGCACGTCCGGCAATGCCCAGGTGCCCAGGCCTTGAGTTCGAGACATGTCCGATATGTGGTGTTGAGTTCGCCAAGGTCTGGCAGCCATCTGTACACGTCAAGAAAATGCTCAAAATAGCTGGGCCCAACCTGTCCCATATGTGGGAAGGACATTGCGGAACTGAAGTCAAAAGTTCAATATATGAGAAATTGCCAAAAAAAAAGGGCACCCGACATAACGCACGGCATGCTTGAAAGCCTCAACAACAAGATACAAGATGCAAATCCTGACGATGCAAGTCCGGACGAGACGGAAGATGTGGATCAAAGCAGACTTCTGAATTTCACTGACACAATCCAAACACTTCAACGCGCCACATCCCAGCCCGGCAGAGCTTCTGCTGCATTGTAAGGGCTTATGAAACTCCCACCGCGTCATGAATTGTGCCCTAAAGTTGTCGACTGTGGTGGTGGAACATTTGCGGTGTTCATCGAGGAGGGGAAATCCTTTCCATTCGCAAACATGAAGTTAAAAAAAAAAAAAGGAAGGCCGAGTCCTCGACAAGGAAGAAGAATTAGCCGAAGAAAGCAGCAACAGCTTAATCGGGCAGTTATGTTGTGTTTTTAGGTTCTTTTGTTCTCTCGAACATGTTAGCCAAAGCTGGGCCAGAAAAGGAAAGCGACTTCTTTTTCTTTAGGCGGATGTCGACACATAACGTCTAGCATGTCAAGGATTTGCCTAATGGCACGTCTATCATTGTTCTTGCTCTTGCTCGAGTAATAAACTCTCCTTTCTCGATTCTTAGATAGGTACTAAACAATCAAAGGAATTTTCTGACACTCTTGGTCTCCCAAATCCAAGGCACAAACCATGTACCGAGATCACTCTACCAAACTGCTTCGGCGTCGATGCGCGAGGCCCTATCTGGTACTCGATGAAATATCTGCTCGTTTCCCAGTCTCTTCCCATGCCGACGCCCGTAGTTCTGCCAGACCTTTAGGGTGATTCTCGTTCCGTCGCCTGCGGAGCTCTTCTGATCCTGCAGTTCGTGATCGGTTTCGCCGAGGGGATACTTGGACATTTGAGGCATTTCCCAGTTTCTCGCACTCATAACAGCCACCTGGACGTACTGTCAGATTTCTCCCGCCACACATTAAGTCCCAGATGTAAGCCCTGCGCACGATTAAAGAGTCGAGCCGCGCTTTCCATTTCCTATCTCGACTCCGAGGACTGCCTCCCATCGACCAGCAAGTACAAATTCTCCGCCGATCAGGCGCGCCTCGTTTTCGCGGAAGATACCCTAAAGGCCATGTCAGCTCCTGCTCAAATGAGACAAAGGAAGGCCGTATGAACAACCATATTCGTCAGCATGAAGAACAAGGTCGATACCTTGCAGGACGCGCAGTTATTCGGCATGTGCCAAGAGTACGACGTCCAAATTTCCATAGACGGATGATGGTGGTCACGAGGACAGCAGCAGCCCTGAAATCGCCGAGGTTGCCATCTGTGCATGAAACCGCAAGATTGGCACAGGAGGTGTGCTGGATAGTCAGGTTCGAGAAAATGTGAAGATTCGTGACGTCGTATTGATGTCGCATAGCGACAAATCGAGACACTCATTCAACAAATTACGAAATCGCCAGCAAGAGAGGCGAAGTGAGCGTTGAAATTCTTTTTCAAGGAAGTCAGCGATGTTGAGTAGCAGCTCGTTTGGTAACTCAAGGAACGGATTCCGGCGGGCTTCCGAGTACTCGGCGCGCTGTGTCAAGTCCCTTGCTTTGAAAGGGACCCAGCTGAAGAGATTTCGAGACACGGTGACGACACTCTGCGTATGTGTTTGAGAAACCGAGCCATCGGCGCTTTTTGCTTCTAATTTCTGTCACCAATTTGTCGATTGCTAGAGTCTAATAGGCTGGGGAAGGATGTAAGCCCGGATTGCGCGTCAAAGGGGGGATGAGGCGGTAAGGTTGGGATGCTGGACTCTCTCGCTGCATTCAAGAGGTGCTATCACAATATGTGCGCGATAGTGAAGGTAGGATAGAAGCTGAAGACGGATGATGCGTGGACGAATCTGGATCGTTGTGTTCCCATATCACCTAAGGTTAGTGAGGAGCTTCAAAGGGCGGAACCACTCAGTCTCTGGAGCCTAGCCTGGAAAAGGGCCACATACACTGACAATCCTATAACCTATCGGCAAGGTCCCTAGAATTTATCAAATTCTTAGCAGTGAAGCGGCGCTGTTGGGTCTCTGCTTCATCCTAGCATGACTGCAGACCATCATCAGTGTTGGCGGCTGTACCTCGCGTGGATATCGCTGGGATGAAGCCAACTTACCCTCCCAATTCCAGTCTTTCATGACGGTCAACCAATGCAAGTCTCCTCGCACCGTGTAATCTATGAATCCCGCCCTCGTCACTGGATCTATGCCCTTCTTAAATGCAGCCGACTCCGGAAAGTCTGACGATGCCAATGGAGAGCGTGCTTCCGCGTCGAATTGAGTCGTGGCTTCAACGACAGACCTTGAGGAACTGCCTTTCTCGTAAACCAGAGAACCGTCCCTGGCGAGACCTGCGGCTGTTGACGCAGGGCTTTGCGCAGACTTTCGACAGACAACCCCATGACGCGCTTCATGTTCATCCCTCCTTCGCCACACCTCCATTGTGATCTCTCTGCATCGCTCTACTATTCCTGTGATCATACGTTTGGACATGAGGTCCCAGCGCTCGCGGACCCAATCCCTGTCATCTGCGTCAAACGCTTCACATCCAGCTATAAATAGTGGGAAAATGTGCACAATGGTTGTACGCGAGGTCAGAGGAATGGTTGCGAGGAAGACGAGACTCTTCGATGCTAATTCCCAGATAGAGTGCGCCCAGGGAAGTTCAGGAACCGCTTGCCGGAGAAGTAGGAGCGAAGCCCATCGATACGCTTCAGCTGTCTGGATCGAGTCGGTGATATTAGGGTTGAACCCAACTCCGCTCTCCCAATCGATCGATGGGACCCAATTTTCTATCGCCACTCTTAGTTCTGTCGCTTTGGAAATAATGGCCAGAGAATTGCGGTGCTCTGTTCTCCTTCGAACGCGACCGACAAGTTCCCCGAGGCGGCCGATCAATGGGAAAAGCGTGATCGCGCAACCCATGAGCGGATCAAGTTGCTGTCCCCTGGGGATGGAGCTGCTGAGTGAACTGCAGGCGGTCATGAATTCAGTGTCATTGAAGCTTTGAGGTTCCATACAGACTAAGCGAGCAATAACATCCATGTACATGCACGTGTTCGCCAAAAAGCTCAGCCGGCTCACATTCCCGGCAGTCAGCCTCGACGTCTGGCGTCTAGAAGCAGCTTGCCGAATCAATACCTTGGCACGGTTGATGTGGTCAATCCCGGTCGATGATCTCTGATGGTCCCATGTTTCAGCGAAACCAAGGGCCAGCCTTGTGGCAATGGCAGCTTCTAGCAGCATGTTGCCGTTCTCGTTATTGATGAGAGCTCGCTCCCCAGACTGAAAATGCCGCAGCCCAAGAAGGCGTAGCTGCGATTGGGTCTTGCACAGGTGTAGGCAGGTCATTGCAGCCAGTGCGTGATAAAGTGCAGGGCAGCCAGATGCCAATGGCCAGACCAGAGTTCGCCATGGATTCTTGGATTCGTCATCCTTGATTGAGAGAATAGCGCATGTCTGCTGTTCAAAGAGGTGCCGTATCATTTCCGGAGTACCACTTGGAGATTGAGGTTGTTGATACATTCGTTGAATGTTATTATTATCGATGAGGTGGGAAGATGCGGCGATTTTTCCTAATGAGTCTGGAGAGGGTTCGGCGTATGAATCCAACAGAGGTATCTGCCAATTCATCTCTCCGGGGTCTTCCTCCAGCACAGCCTCCGCCGAGTCGAGTAAATCGTCAATCCCGGAAAGATTCCACTCGACATCATGATATATCTCTAATTCGCTGTCATGAGTTTGTGCTAGCAAGTCGTCCAGCTGCGATAAGTTGTAAGAGGCGGCATCTGTTTTAGAAATCGGCAAGAAGCGATAGTGGTCAAAGAGACGGGATGGGTGGTCGGATAGAATATCATTCAGGCCATTCGAGACTGGTGGCTCTGTCTCAAGGTGTGTAATATCGATGTCGTCAACATTGCTTTGAGCACTGATATGGGCACTCGCCGACTTGGCCATTCCTCCCGCTGGTGGCACCCCCTGGTAGTTTAGCTTGAGCGCAGATGGAATTGCTGCATCACTTGGAGGAGACTCGACACTGTCCAGGACCCTGTCATCTGTCGAGGGGATGGTAGGCCGCAGCTCCGGCATTCCATCATGGTCTTGGACTGTCTTCGAAGACCATTCATCACCAGCCTGAGCGATCTCTCCCACTGGGTCGTTCGCCGATTGACTGTCTGACGAGATGGCTAGTGCCTCCGGGTGATGCTGGGTTCTTCGGGACGCAGCCTCACCATCGGTGCGTCCGTCTTTGATCTGTCGAATCGGTCTCCATCTGAGAAACTTTGGATAGCCACCACAGGTAACTCCGCGACGGGCGCATTGCTGGCATGTCGGCTTTGCCTCGTCACATTTCAAACGCCTCGCCTTACAGGTTACGCACCCTAGACAGGCTTGGTCAGCGATTATTCTGCTACAAGTTGTCCAGATTGTTCGTCACGGTGGTGCGGTCCTGATCATGGTGCCATACCGGCCGGGACAGGAGCAGCTATGTACCATTGCGACTCTTTGGTTGTTTACGTCGAGATGTTTCCTCAGTGCTTCTGGTCTCAACATTCGCGGCAGGAGCTAGGAAGGCTGGAGTGCTCTTCGCTTTTAGAGTAGCAGGTTTGGGCATCAGCGAAGGCAATGCTAGGCAGGGTGGAGGACGTTAAGGGTACTCGATGAGTTCAGGGTGCTCGTTCGTGCCATGTGATAAGGACGGCGAGTCGCTTAGTGGCAAGGATAAATGAGGTTGGAGGGTGAGAACAATTAAAGATGGAAATGACGCGAAGACGTGGGATGGGCTCGCATCTCTACGCGGGACAAAACAAACGTCTGGGGAGTGCGAGCGGGGTTTGAAACCCTTTACCTCGTAGGCGACTGCTAGTGGGGAGCAAGCTTATCAGGCGCCTATCGTTTCCGGCTGCAGGGGCTGATGGGCGCCCCTAGTGCCTAATGCCCCCGGGGTCCGATAACCAAGATATACCCATGAATAGGGCAACTGATCGGGACGCCAGCGCTAAATCTGTGACTAGCGCCATTCGGATATTAGGTGGCTCGGTGGTTACGAGTGCCACATCTAGCCGAGCGATTTCAACAGCAACGATGGATTGACCAGGCTATTTTCATGTACCTCATAATCATCGTTTATGTATGTACTTGGCACTTCCACCAGGAACACTACTGGCTCGCATTCTCAAAGACAGCAGGCAGGTTCAGTGACGGATCGTCGTTGTCAACGACCCCGAGCACCGTGGAAGGCTTCTTGTACCCGAGGAGCGAGAGCATCTTGTCACTCATAGTGAGTATTTTGCTCCTCGGGACTGCCAGAAACTGATTTTCTTCCGTGCGCAAGTTGCCCCTGATGAAAAAGAGACCGTGTACCTTGCGAACCTCGTTTGGGACAGAGTTATGGCCACCTCCATGATAGCATGAAGCTAGGAATATCAACGCGGATCCGGGTTCCATTTCTAGACGCAACTATCAGCCTCACTTTCACGAGGGGATGGTGATGGTTATGTATAATGTTGCGGTTTGCGAAGACACTCACCAGCAAAGCATACTTCATCTGTCCGTGGGCGACGGGTATCGTCCCATTTGTGAGAACCCGGTACGAACATTGTGGCCCCGTTTTGGCGAGTTGTTCTAGACCCAGCAATCAGACAGCCAAATTGGCTGGCTTTTTTGAGGTCGAATTTCCCTCCATGCCGGATCCCATGCACGTTATCGTCTCGGTGAAGCCTTTGTCGAGGCGCGCCATACCCGATATAAAAGGTGATGCTGATGCTCAACAGAGGATCTATAATGTTCTCTTCCACAATATCTTCGCGAATGACGCTGAACTTCTCCTGAAGAATGGACGTCCGTAACTCCTCCAGCACGGGGGATTCACATATCTTGGCGATTGTCGAGGATTTGCCTACGAGCCCGGGTATGGCGAGTGTTTCTTTGGGTATAATGTGCAATGCGCTCTTCTCTGTAGACCTGGTTTGTTTTCGATGAGCTTCGACATCACGATCGATGGCAGCAATATCTTCCGCTGTTGCAAATCCGGTCAGAATCACGCCACCGTCCCGTTCGATTATGCTGAGTATTTCCTCGATTGGCGCATTGGCGGATGTTGAAGTAATGGAGGCGGATGGCTCGTGTGAGGGATCAATGGGGTCTGGCGGCCCAAACATCAAAATCCCCATTCTCATTTGTTCGGGAGCGGCAGATTTCGCAGTAGTACTCTATAGGATTTATTAAGAACCGGTCTGTGAGGAGTAAAATTGCAATAATTCTTGTAAGTCGAGTCCCTCCAGCAGGAGAGAATCGCAGTTAATTCAAGGTTCGCTTCGGAGGATGGCACAGGGCGTGAAATTCTTCTTTTGGACAAAATGGGATCTCAAACGCGAGAAAGCCCCGTGGAAGACAGGACGGTGCCCAATGAAATGCTTCTGAAGGCGTGGGACTTAGTTTCCCCTTTTGTTCGTATACGGGGATGTGCGTCTTTTGTAGACTGCCAAATCCAGGGAGGACAGTGGGTCTGAAGAACTTGACTGCCTCAATAGGAATACTCTATAGATAAAGCGTGGAAGTGACAGGAGCGAGGACGGTCTGATGACCACTTTGCTCTATCAAACTCGAAATATTAATATCACTGTCATACTGTCGAGGGATGATAGATCTTGTTACAATAATACCTCTTGTCTCTAACTTGGAAAACCCCTAATCCAGTGAGCAATACCCTATACTAGCTACTATCTCAACTCAGCAGAGAATCTTCACCCACCATGCCGGAAGTCGATACACGTCCTGCAATCTATAGCCCCAACATCAAACCTATAATCAGCGAGAATCTTCGAACCGCAAGCACGAGACCGCGCATCGCTTTTGATCCTGAGAAGCATTTGGTATATCGCGAAGATCCCCCAGTTTTGATGCTCAGAGACATCGGGCTTTCAGAAGATGTGGGCATCTCGCCAGTTGCCATCTCAGACCCCTTTCCTCTTTTTAGCGAAGAAGCGATAACCCATATGAGGAGTGAGATTTTCACGAATGAAGTTTGGGACAACTGTTTGTACAGCACCGATTTCGCAGGTTGCCAGCTCAGGGGCCACTGTCCGAAGTAAGGGATCTTCTTCTTGGTCGTCTTTAATATCTCTGAGCTGACTCCCTCGATACCGCCCATTGGCTAAATTCTTAAATAGGTATGCCCCGTTCATGTATGATGCCTGGAAGAACCCCAAAACGCTTGCCATCGTGTCGAAAATTGCTGGTGTTGACTTAGTGCCCGTGATCGATATCGAGATTGGAAATATCAACATCTCCGTTCAGAATCCCCTCAAGAACTACCAGAAGCAAGAGAAACAATCGGGCGATGACGTCCCAGTCACCAAGTGGCATGTGGACAGTTATCCTTTTGTTTGTGTAGTTATGATGAGTGACGCGTCCCAGATGGTTGGGGGAGAAACTGCGATCAAAACCGGCTCCGGAGATCTCATCAAAGTCCGTGGACCACAGATGGTGAGCATGTTGCGTATATAGTTTGTTAGCAAGTTTTATGAAATTTGCTGACGGTTACTAGGGCAGTGGTGTCGTCCTTCAAGGGAGGCATATCACACATCAGGCATTAGCCGCAGTGGGTGGAACTGAGCGTATCACCATGGTGACGGCATTTCGCCCTAGGGACCCTCTCATTCCGGACTCCTCAGTTCTCACTACCATCAGGCCCATCACAAACCTGTCGGATCTGTACTTCCAGTGGACAGAATACAGAGTGGAGGTTTTGCAAGAACGTCTGCGACTGATGCTCGAGGTGCTGCGAGAGCAGTATCATGCCCACACACCCACAGATGTCAGGAAGATCAAAGAGTTTCTCCAACAGCAGGCGGACTGGCTTTCCATCACGAACAGAGAAATTGTTCACACTTGACTTTTCACTTGTGACGATAGCGTACAAGGGACGTCGAGCTTGGGAGTTTTGCGACTCGCAGTTTTGCATTGGAGTTGAAGTAGCACTTCAATCCGAGGCCTATTCGCGATTGCAAGAGACAACTATTTGCTCGCCTTCACCAAATAAAATTAGTGACATCGATAGCATTCCTGACAACGGTTGGGCGCTAGTTGCTCGATGTAGGCCTGCTCGCCTGAAAGCAAAATAGTGGACCGCCAATCAGAGAACTGGAAACAGGTTGGACTTGACTTCCTGATTTGGCAATTTCTCAGTGACAACGTGGGCAAGGCTGCGCACCTTAAGGGACGCACTACCCCCCGATTCGCTGAATCGCGTCCAACTAAAGAAAGCCGCATTCATCAGTCGCGGAGCACGGATCAACATTTGCATTTCTGGAGAATGCGCGAAATGATTCACTGCCCGATCGACATGACTTGTTGAATGGAAAGGGAAGGGAATCCGAAAAGAACGAAATTTCAACCTTTCGCTGAGGGAAGAAGTGGTCCCGTCAATCGACAGTATTGAATACAGTGGATCAGAAGGGTAGGAATGTCAATCGTCTTTCTACCGAGGGATCTGCCATTGAAGGTCACAAACTGCCTCTTGACTTGAATGAGTGGTCGCGGCTCGTTCGACACCTTCCTCTGAGGAGTGGATGGCGCCAATCTCAAACCGCTCTTTTCCAAGTAAGACCACCTGGACCACTAAACGAACAGCCACAGACGTACCGATGTTTGATGTCCCTCTGATGACATCAATTGGAATGAGGCTTCAGCCCCTGGTGCGCCTGATGGAATGAGGTGCCGTGCGGCAGGAATCAACAGTGTGAAAAGTTGAACGCAGCAAGCATACAGGTTCTCTCCTGCATACTGAGAACGTATGCCCGTTTGAAATCCATGTCTCCGGAAACTGGAACGAACACTCCAGCTTTTGTTGTATGGGCGTTGAAAATTAAACTGATGTCGGCCCGAACCCCCAGAATGGAATCCAAGTGCGCGCATATCTCACTGAACAATTGAAATCTAGGACTTAACATAAAGGCAGGACAAATAATACAAAAACCGCTCTCACTGGACTAAAGTCATGTCAGTGTCTAAGCACATTAAACAGCGCGATATGGAGGTATGTACTCTTATTTTACTGGGAGTCGGGAACTGTGGGACGGGCTGCCTATGTCGCCTGTACTGACACCACCTTGTCAAGCAACTGGTGGAACTCTTTGAGAAGTATAAAGATATAGATGGGTAGTCCCCATTGTGAGCAGACGAGGTGAGCTCGCCGAGAACAGTGTGAGACCTGATCTCATGGAAGATACCGTGCAGATCGAGTACCAGCTCGTGTCATATAACGATTTAAACCGGACGACAAATCTGCTCCTTAAACAGGAGTCCGTGCTCGGTAGACTGAAAGAGTCGCATGAGGACATTAATGATCCCCATCAACACATATCGACTTCTTGGTATTACCAAAGTCGCCTCTTTCTCAAACGAACCAGCGTCTCACCACAGCTGGCAATAATCAAATGGCTATTATCAGGGACCTAGGCAACGCAGTAGGTACAAAGAATTAGAGTAGCTGAATGCCTTGTTCTATTCACGTAGTCCTATTGACAACGACTCAACGCTTAAGAAAAAGGAAGAGTTCTCTCTCAGCCGATTCGGGTGAGAGGAAACTCTTATAGCTTCCCCTTTTTCTGTCACGTGAAAAGGGTAAGGCGGCGTTAACCAATAGCCTTGTGCTTTAGCTCTCCTTAACTTATGCTTCAACCATCCTTTGCCTTATCCTTTTCTTTCTATACCGTCCACCCGAATCGGGTGGAGGGCGTAGAGTACTTAGGGACAACGGTAGGCTCGTGACAGCTATACTGAATTTCAGCCAGAATTTGGAAGTTTCATAGGTGAAGCTACACTAGGGGAACCTTATGATAGCGGCAGAATTAAGAGCCTGTTGAGTGTAGAGGCCAACATGCGAAAACGGTAAGAACGAAGATACTCACTTTGCATACGCCATTTGGCATTGATATTTTTGAGAGGCAAATGATACAGACATGCCTTGGTCCACACGAGGCAGTCGTTACCAGGCCAGGTTTTCCACGCCTGGGTGTTCCATGCTCGTACACTGAACCTACACTACCAACTCACGAACTCTTGCTCCAATCACGGTTTCTTCCCAGATTAATCAGCACACATGAACGTTACCGTACAATTCATGATAACATCTACGCGCGCCGTGGAGGCCGTCCTTGCAAAGTCAAGATTCCAATCTACAGAGACACCGACACGCCCTGGCCTTGGAAGGAATCAATTCAATTCTCACACCAAAATGATGCCCAGGAGGACGACGTAGAGCGACATCATGAAAGCGTCGCCCAGAATTTTCTACATGGCGATAGCATGGCCTTCGGGCCTAGCTTTTGCGACCTCCAAGTCACGATCCAGGCGAAAAACCTTCGGGAAGCACGCAACCTTCATGATCAGTTGTGTCCATTTGGTCCCATTATTATGGTGTTGTCAGTTACAACTCCGTTCTTTCGTGGATACCTGACTGATACTGACGTTCGGTGGAACCAGGCGGCTTCGGCGGTGGATGATGGGACTACAAATGAGCTTCGTTCAAACGTAACGCATGTTGCAAATATAATCCGGGCTTCGCGCTGACCATAAAGCAGACTATTAAGCCATTTGACTTACATCCGCGGTGGTGATCCACAGCAATGTACATCTCCGATGACACGCGACTCCAGCCGTTGTACAACCCCCAGAAATCAAAGCTGATCCAGCAGTCAAAGAGTACCTGGAACAACACAGTGGTATGGATGCCCTTCTGGCTTCGCATTATGCCAAAATTCTCGCCCGTGACCCCATCGCCCTGGCAAAGAACGAACTCAAATCCTACGAAAGCCTCGATGTCTTCGAAATCCTCCACTCTGCGGTCTGGCCACACGCCGATCTTAAACTGCCCTCCAAGAACGGCGAGGCAGGGTGGCGGGTTGAATTCCGTCCCCTGGAAGTACAATTGACCGATTTCGAAAACGCGGCATTTGCAGTGTTCATTGCCCCCTCGCCCGCGCTATTCGGCGTTATGACCTCAACTTTTATATTCCGATAGACAAGGTGGGGGAGAATATGCGGAGAGCGCACAGGCGCGATGCAGTTCGCCTGCAAAGATTCTTCTTCCGTGTAAAGATCGAGCAAACAAAACCAGAAGATGCAGGATCAGGATATGTCCTGATGACCGTCGCGGAGATTATGAATGGGTCTCCAAACTTGCAGAATCCAATCGCAAGGACAGCTTCATTTCAGTGCGTGTCTGCTATGACTTGATGAAGGTTGTCAAGGCTTTGGGAGACGGTAGTATCGATCCTGTGGAGTTGTTCTATGTGGATGCGCGAGTCTAGAGAAAGTAGGAAGCCGAATTCAAAATTCAGTGGCACACCCAAAGTCCTTCGCTGTTAGAAGGGGGGTGGGCCTTGTTGGCTATGAGCATTCTGTTTACCTTGGAATTAGTGACCCTCTGTCATTCATCCTCTACTGTCGTTTATATTCGACATCGCGGTCGGCTTGTCGTTATTGACCAATCTTGAGGTACATATTTCTTGACAGACTGTGCCACTTGTTCGCTGGAGCGATCCCAGCCTTGTATGAAAAGGGAGGACGCTCAATTCTGGCTGTTTCAACTTAGCATTCGTATATTTGCTGTTTCTATTGGCCAATGCGTAACGAAGAATCCACACCACTAGGGCAGCGCGACGGCGCCAGCAGACTTGTGTCGCTTCCACGAAGTTCTCATTCGTCCCTGGCACCACACGGGGTTCTCTCGGGCGTGGTTGTTCGGTTAAAGCGGCTCATTAGCAGGCGTAAAGAGGGTTTGTGTTGAATAATCCCGTGGAAGGGCTTTTTTTGGACAGATATTAAACCCAGATGCTCCCTCTTGGTCTCTTTTTCCCTTCAACCCCTTGGGTGCCCTCAACATGTCATCGCAAAAACCCAGCATCCAATATTCGCCGATTGATCTCGAATTATGCTCGACAAATTGGCCCCGAGCGGAATATGCAACATTTGCTAATCAGGCAAAATCTTCCGGACTCAAAAATGCTCCCAGCCAGAGTTCTTCATGTCCTGCCCAGGACCGACCGGGTGCGATTCTCGGCAGGTCACTCAGGCGTCACAGCTACAACAGGCATTATCGCCAACCCTCAATATCCAGGCGCCCGGTCTTGGAAGATTAGCCTTTTACCGCTCCTTTTGGTCAGTTGGGGAAAACCCAGCCATTGCTCGATAGACCTTACAGCCGCGGCTATACCTCTTCCCCGCATCCTTCCACTCAAGCTGCGAGAAATGCCTAGGTAAGTGCCTGAGTCGGACTTTCAACCTCTTGTCATTGCACTTCAAAACACGGAATGACGACCGTTTCGACCGAGTCAAATTCTCTTGGCTACGGAATTTCTCCCAAACACGAGCAAAAGTTCAACAAGATGCTCCACCGCTCGGAGGGCCCGCGATTGCCACCTTTTCTGCGGCTGCCCATGGACTCTGGGCACCACAGACTCATTACCAGCCAGCCTCATGGTTACGAGGAAATGGGTAAGCCAAGAGCGAACTAATGATGCACCATCAGCAATCTTTTCCACACAGGTCGTGGAGATGTTGCCACCACGTTCCATCGCTTGTCGATCGACTGGGTCATGGTTGTGGTCAGGCCAGGATGTGCTGATACAAGGGCCTTCGCTTCCGAAGTTGAAGCACAGTCTTCGCAGCCGACAGGTTGAGAGGGAAAACATACTCACTGAGTTTGGGGAACTCGGTGGCCTGGTTAGCGGAGCATGGGTTTATCTACCAGTGGGGTCTCCAAGCTACCAAGTGACACCGGCTTTGTCGCTAGGAACTGCGAATGGGCGAGAAAGTCAAGCACTCGTGTTGAAGCCAATTTCAATGCTTGCTACACCTCTAGAGGCTTGGATGGCACACTTTCATTATTTTGCCAGCCATGGGTTGCACCACCTCAGTTCCTGTGCATCAAATCGTCTCTTTCCAACGAGGCAGAAACAGAGCGATGGAATGGACCTGAGGGATCATTTGGCTGGACCGGGCGATTACCTTTACTAAAGCACGGCCTACCGTCGTTCAGCTGAAAATTGGCCCACATCCCATACCCCAGACTCCACCGGAGCGCCCCAAAGCTGGGGTCATCTCGACCCCTCGGCACTCACCTGGTAGGTTGGTTAATGCGTCCGAATGCATGCTCTTGCAGGGGGCTTCCCCTGGAGGGTATCCGCCTCGAAAGCTGGGCATATCTTCAGTATTCACGAAGAACTGGTTGATCCCTGTTGCTTGGCTCGATGCCCAGAGCATTCTCGGTCCTGTCCTCCGGTGGACTGAATTTGACTATGCTGCTTTTGGTTTTTGGACATCTTGTTAGTGGCTTGTTGATATCACACAATCTCCCTCGCTTGATCAACGTGGTTCAAGCATATCAGGCTTATGGGATCCAGTACTCGGTATTCCTTTCATAAGACCAACCTTCCACCCACTTCCCCTCCTCATTCCTCAATCCCTCACTTCATCTCTACTTTCCCTCTGCCTTGTTCTTGAACATCACCCAACATGGCGGCCGTCAACGTTCCTATCGAGAAAAGTCTCGACATCGCCGAACTCGAGCGTGCCGATACCACCGTCTCGGCTGACTCTGACAAGCTGAACGACGCCAGGATCAATGCCTTCACTCCAGAAGAACAAAAGAAGATCATGCGGCGTATCGACAGACGGCTGGTGCTCACTTTGGGCTTTCTCTACTGCGTCTCCTTAATGGATCGTACCAACACCGGTATCGCTGTCGTCGCCGGGATGGGAGTCGATCTCGTCCTGATCGGGAATCGATACTCCATCATGGTGCTTGTCTTTTTCATCACCTACGTCTTACTGCAGCCTCCTGCCACTGTCGTTCTTCGAAAAATCGGCCCCCGCAAGTTCTTACCCACTATCACTTTACTCTGGGGAATGACAATGTTAGCCGCTGGCTTTGTCAAAACCTGGACTGAGTTGACCGGACTTCGAGTGATTCTCGGTTGTTTTGAGGCTGGTTTCTTCCCAGGTACGTGTCAAGAATAATATGGTGGTGGGTCTTGGTGAAAATCACATGAGCCGTCACCTGAGAAGAGTCTTTCAGACCTCTTGATCCCTGTTTGAACTTCATCTGACTATGGTGTCTTAGGCTGTGCCTATCTTCTTAGCTGCTGGTATCCTCGCTACGAACTCCAGAAGCGTAATGCCGTCTTCTACCTCATTGGATCCATGGCGTCCGCCTTCGCTGGTATTCTTGCCTATGGCTTCTCCCAACTGAAGAACCACGGATCAGGCCCGAAATGGTGGGGTCAGCACTATGGCCCAACGGCAGAAGATCCCACCGCACCATCAGGGATTCTGCCCGGTATCGCGGGTTGGAGATGGATCTTCATCCTACAGGGTGTCCTGACCTGTGTCCTGGCCATTGGCGCCTACTTCCTGATCGTGGACTTCCCCGAAAAGGCAACGAATACATTCGGGGTCAAGTTTCTGAACCAAAAGGAAGTCGATTTCGTCGTTGCCCGCATCGAAAAGGACCGTCACGACGCAATTCCCGAGGAGTTCAGACTGGGGAAATACTTGAAGAACGCTTTGGACCTAAAAGTCTGGGGCTTTGCCTGGCTCTTCGGTCTCACAACTACAAACACATACGCGATCGCGTATTTCCTTCCAATCATTCTCAATGACGGCATGGGTTTCGACGTCGCAGCCTCACAATGCCTCATCGCACCCCCCTATGTCCTGGCCGCAATCGTCATGTATCTTTTCGCCTACCTCGGCGACAAGTGGCATATTCGATCCCCCTTCGTTCTAATCAACGGCTGCTTGCTCCTAATTGGTACGTTTGATACCGCCTGCTCTCCTCTCACACATCTAACGCTTCCTTACAGGCCTCCCCCTTCTCGGCTATTTGGACAACGTTCCTGTTCGCTACTTTGGGGTTTTCGTCGCGACCACTGCTTGCAACGCGAACGTCCCAGCTGTACTCACATGGCAAGCAAATAATATTCGCGGACAATGGAAGAGAGCCCTCTGCTCGGCCACATTGGTCGGCGCTGGAGGTATTGGTGGTATTATAGGCAGCACGGTCTTCCGCTCGCAAGACAAGCCTAATTATCACCCGGGTATCCTGACCTGCATGCTGGCAAGTGGCCTGATCATCCTCATCACCCTTGCTTTGGATCTGAAGTTCTACCTGGCCAACAAGAGAGCCGCTGCTGGCGGCAAGCCGATCGAGGGTCTCCAGGGATTCCGATACACTTACTGAACAATATATGGATATATCTGGCCGGATGGGAGTCAAGCAAGCTGTTTTTAAGTCAATTGACGCGTGAAATGCATGCTATCTCAGGAGAATGAGTCGAGGCAACCTGGTAGCTCTACACCAAGCACAGGGCGGAATGCCAAGATTCACGTGACAAGATCTCTCGACGAGGCTGTCGAAATCACCGCTTCGGAATTGCTGAAATCTCGAATATTCTAGGCTGAAACTTGATCAAATAGTATATACAGTACGATATTGTGGACAAAGATGGCCACAGTGCCTGTCAAGAAAAGTGCTCGAAAATCGAAGTGGCCGCGAAGTGGCCGCTTGGCCGATTGATCAAATTCGTGCAATTGAGAAATAGAGAACCAGTCAAACCACTACTCTCAGAGGCTAGGCAAGTCTCCGTTGTAAGTGAAGACCGGCTCTGATCTTAACACCAGTGTGCCTTAAGCTGCTGCTTGGGGAGACACCTTGTCACACTATGAATCCTGTCGGTTGTTCACCGAGACGCCTTCTCATCCTGACGAAAGCAAGGGTTTTCATACACATCCCCCGCACTTCCAGAAGGAGTCAAATGATGACCGCGCAGCGACCCCACGAGATGCAGCCTAACTAGCTACATTTTCCTGGCCAAACGTCAAACTCTCAGTTCATTCTAGGTAGCCCGTCAGAATGCAATCTCACCACTCCGGGGGAGAATTCGGGCGCAAAAGATCCCTTGCCTCCATCCAGAACGACGCCATTGCTAAGAACATGTCTATCCTGGATCTGGAGATATCCCCGCCGGATTCTCGCATTCCCCACGTTCCTAGCTCCGGATCCGCAGCGGGCCCGAGGCCGACAGTGCGCGGACACTTCAAAAGGTGTTCAACTGAGATCACGCAACTTGAATGTCTCAACTAGCCGCCCCAAGTCCCTGTTAGTGTATGCGGGATGGCCTTGGGGAATCTGGCTTCCACGACACCGGGAACCAAAAGCCTTGGCTCGAATGTATCTCGGGATATCCTCTCGAATGTGGTCATTGCTCGAAAACTTGATCTCGGGCTCTGTTGGAACCTGCGAGTCGTATCCAGCAAAAGATTTGCCAGATCAAGATGCCTCGGTACATTCAAGGACGTTTGACTTCGGGATGGCCAAAGTTCTAACGTCCAAGACTTCTTGAAATCTGTCATACCTGCCGTTCCAAAGCCATCGACAACGCGGATCATATTCGTCCCCCTCCACTCAACTACGAGAGATGCCAAATTGGGCAGTTATGGTGAGGCAAAAGGTCAACTAAACAAGACTGGGACGGTGACGGGAAACGATGGTTTGGATAGAGAGCAGCCCTTCTCCGATTCGAATACCGGACAATCGCCACTGCCAATGCTCGCTTTGCCCCTGCCCAGGTCCAAGGTCCGGGATGGCTGGATGCCAGCCCCCCAAGCTCGCAACCGCATACCCTCCCTACCTTGTGGTAGGCGCATCAGGGGACCTCGATCGGCACTTCTGGGAATCGAGTCATCTTGTGCATGGGAGGACAGACAACCCCCGTTCACCACTGGCGCTACCCGACCCTTCGGAAGTGCAAGCGCCATCGTCGATGCATGTGAAGGCGGTTCCTCCGGTCGAGCACCCACTTCTTGAAAGACACCCGGCTGAGATCGTGCTCGCATGTCTTCTCTAGGTCGCTCGAAAACTCTCTCCAGGACGGCTAGAATTGTTGGGAACTCGAGGGCGCGTGCGGTGCGAGACCCTGCCATCCTATGAGTCTGTTCTACGGAAGGAAAATGTGGCACAGTTTGCTATAGCCTATTGCGTCTGGCTCTCCCGCATTGGGAGATATCAGGGGTTGAGCTCCAGGCTGCTTTCTTTCACAGGATAGGCTTTCCTTTTGATTGGAGCCAGTGGCTTCCCACCTCTCATACGCACAATCGGGACTATTGCGAGGGCGGCGACGTCGTCGTTGTCGTTGTCCCGTTTTCTACGGCCGTACTTCCCCGCATCAGGCTGCCACGGTTGCCGAGTCGCCTTCGACTGGTGTTTGTCGAGGAGAGGTCTCGTGATCTATAGTACACCCTTGGTGCTGACATGCTGTTCCGACTTCAGTCAGGAGGCTGCAGATTACTCCTGCCCATCTCGGTCTCCCATCTTCTCAATCCAAACCTGACCCTCCCGATCCTGGGCATCTTCTGGAGTGCGATTGTCTCCATGCGAAGCACAGTCTCTCGCCACAGACACTGATTTGTCCAGTCATACGAGCACATCACCGCGCGCTGCATGCCTCCTTCTGAGCCGCAGAGGAGAGCAACAGTAGGTGGCCGTGCGGCTCGAAACGAGGTTACAGTCCTATTATCCGACGTTAGCGGTGCGCAACAGAAAGAAGTTCAAATAGACGGAGACAGCCCATACATTGTATTCGTATCGACCAGCGTGAAATGCCTCAGCTTCTCCCCCGTCGTCGACACCATTCCCGCACCTCTCTCGTTCTCGCCCGCGAGCAAAGGATCTGTTCCCTCACACTCCTTCTCCAAGAACTCACTATTCACCCGATGATGAGACATGTTACTCGCATAGGGTGCCCACGAGAGCCGTTCCGAAGGGAAACCAAAGATCTTCATCTCGATCTTTCTCAGGGACATGTGTCCTTCGAATCCGAAGAGCCATGGTTGAGTATTCCATACTTTCCCTCCGTATATGTGCAGGATTAGCATTGGCGAGAGAAGGACAGTAATCAGCGCGATGACGAGGAAGAACGCCCCAATCCCCTTTGCCGTGGGATTGTTTGCTGAGAATGCCAGAGCAAGGACACCGGTGAAGAACCACGCCGGTGTGCCGCGCACGAAATATCGGGCCAGCATACGCGACCAAGTCTCTCGGGTGGTGATGGCGACCCGTTGGAATTTGTCCCAGTGGACTGTGGCCCCGTAGGCGCCGTCGAGGATCACAGTGTCGTGCTGCCCGATGCCTGCGACCTGGCAAATGGGTTCGACATCCCAGAGTTTGGCGCCCCAGTAGTCGTCCAGGTTGGTCCAATCGTGCCTCTTTTTATTTTCGCTAGGTGGAAAACCTCCGTGCTGGTCGTTGGCGCTGGCCGCTGTTCCTGCGTTTTGGTCTGAGTGTTGGTCATTAGGCATGGAATCGTGGCGGTCCTCGAAAGGAAGTAAGCAGATCATTCTTTCCAGCAAACGATCACTATCGTTCGCCAAAGACAGCCGCGCAAAGGCCTGAAATGCAGAATCCGTTTTATCGACCTTTGGCCTTTGCCTCAACAGGCCCATCAATGCGTACGACAAGTCACCTTCAAGGTATTTTGTCGTCCCTTTCTCCACCCGCCTTTTGAGGCATTCCAGGGCCAGGACCACTAGTTCTAGTCGACTCAGGGCCAGTGACCCCTCGTAGTTGTCGATCAGCTGTCTCGCCACTTCGCCATCGTCCCAGACTTGGGCAGGGAACTCCATTTTCGAGATTTCCAGTGGAGCAGCTGCACGAATGTCTCCTCTGCGCGTGTAAACCTGTATCTTCTCCCTCGCAGGGCCCAACAGTACTTCGGGCCACGTCCACATTCGTGTGCCCCATTCTTTCAGCAGGTCGAGGGTGGTGATTGATGGTGGAAGATGGTCTTGGCCTGTCCGGCCTACGACAATGACGATCTTTGCCGCACCGCGGACGACATCACTGATGCGGTAGACGTCTTCTTGGAGCTCATCCTTGTCAGTGGACATACAACATTGGTCGGTCCAGTAGGCTGCGACCTGGGCTTTCTTGGCGGCCAGGCGGGCAATGTTATGGAGGGCTTCGGCGTCGGATGCTGCGTCACAGCACTGGGGACAGTTGCAATGTGAAGAGCCGGTATTTTGGATATCTTTCCTCGCACCACGACATCTGCGCTCGAATTGGTTCTCAGCGGTATAAGAAATGAAGATATAGGTCGGCTCGACGGCTCCTCCGTGCGCATCAATCCAAACCCGTGGATCGAGACATCCCCGTGGATTCTCGTCGGTCACGCAATCCAAGAAACACAAAAGTCGCGGCCGTAGACATCGATCGGAGAGTCGAACATCTTTTGTGGATCCGAGAAATTGAGGGTTGGGTTTCTCACCTATGTTCTCCCGGAAGTTACGCGCGGAGAGAGGGTAGGACCAATATCGGTAAGGCACAGGATCGTAGTTTCCATGGTTGCGGACTTGGCCCTCGATGTCTGTCGGGAAGGTCATCAGTAGCAGCAGGCCAATGCAAGTAGGTAGCCAACGAAGGCCAACATGAAGCCATTGCTCTCGTTTCCAGGCGCTGATCCCAGCAACGGATGATTCGAGAAGGCCATATTCAGCTGGGAAGCTCGGGCCTGCAACAGGCATATGCGCGTAAGGCCAATAGGCCAAACGGATGATCCATGGGCTGACGTTTTCGATATACGTCCTCCGCCAGGTCGTGTCGTTCTCCGTGTCGTAGATATCGTTGACTGTTTGGACGAACAGCTTTTCTACCCTCCCATCAAGCGGATCTAAGTATCGATCGTCGTTCAAACCGGCATACTTTCGACGAAAAACATCCCTGTGCCTGTAGATGTTGATCTGCCCGCCACTTGCAGATCTGTAGTAGTGGCCAGGGAGCTGATAGGAGTGAGGGGACGTCCAACTGAACCAGGCCCGCTCGTGAAAGAATTTCGGGTCCAGCCAGTAAAAGGTTCGCTTCATGTGCAGCTTTTTTGAAGCTCGATTGAGGAACGTATCGGCGTCAAAGAGGTAAGGATTCTCATTCGGCGCTTGTGTGTTGTGGCCTTCGTAGTCATTCGAACCAAGCTTTTGCCGAATATTGAGAGGGGCGACGAAATCGGAGCCGCCTTCGTTGGTGGACTGTTGGAGAATTAAAGCACGCTCTTGGCCCGGGCTGCATTTGGCTGGATGAACTTACCACATTGTTCGTGGAAGGCGCGAAGCTACCGGCAGGATGGTCCGGTGGAGGATTATGAAAGTTGTCCTGGTTGTACTAAAGGCATTCAGTCCCCGAGACATCTGACAGCACGAAGGCGATAGATCGTACATTGTAATACTCCGGCGCTAGTTCGTTGATAGGAGGGAGAAAGTAAGGTGCATCACTGACGGGCAAAGGTTCGTAGGGAGAGCGCCGTTGTTGACTTGAAGTAGGTCGCCGTGGTATCCTGCCTGGATTCTGTCGTGCGGGAGGAGGACTATGAATCGTGTAGTCATCCGCGCCCTCGGCGTGCTGAGAATAGAAGTATGGGTTATACTCTGTCGATCCGGCACTTCCCTGTCGTTGCCCGTGTGATCCCGAGGACGACAGAGGATAGCTATCGAAGATGAACAATAAGGAATTTCAAAGAATCAATGCCCATCTTACCTATCCTCGGATTGTTCTCCGTTCCACCAGCCTGGTCCTTGACTGCCCTAGTGACATGCCCTCAGTTCACAAGGCCAATGAAGTTCAAATAACGTAGGCTCACCATTTTTACAGGCCGTTACGGACAATTGCACTTGGAACAAGTTGCTAGCCTGAGCGCCTTCGAAAGCCGGGTAAAGAGAAAGAAAGACGGACGGGACATGAAGACGCAGCACGAGGTCACAACAGCGTTTATCAGGCTGCAGCCCCAAAGTGAACTGGCCACTCCCTCCCTCTGCCAAGTTTTGCCAATGGGTATGTGTGTCCCTCCAAGACGATGAAGCTCGTATATATAGGGCAATGACCAACTCTGAGGCTCGGATTCCTGGGGAAGACGAAACGTGATTGGTCACAATCGAACCTAAGAACTTCTGGCCCCAGTCGGAGGGCGAAGGGCAGACATCTTGCATGTGCGGCTGAGACATATGAATGCATTCAGATTGAATTTGCGAGGCAGAGACCAAGGGGACTTCGTGACAGTTGGAGGCGAGAACGTCTCTACCACCGCAAAGCCGGAAGCACCATGCTTCTACTCTGTACAGAAGGAGCTCTTTCTTCATTCACAATAGGCGAGAACTCGACTAAAGATCACTCTGCTCACAGGAGGCTGTCGGAGTCGAGCAGCATTGATTGGCTACCCCGTTCGCGAATCGGCGGGCAAGGTTGGTCTGGGCTTCTGAATACGAAGAGAGAACAGCTGATTCATATCCGGGGCCAATCATTTCGGCAAGAACAGAGTTCGACTTCGCGAAAAACAACAAAGACAAGCTGAACTCGAAAAGAGCCGACGGCTAATATCTAATAGCACACTGGTTGGGCGATCATGAATTTTTCTTCCTTGGTACAGTAGAGCTTGATTTGAAATGACTGCAGCGGCCAAATGACAAGCCACACTAGTTCGCCCTACAGCCTAATCCCACAGCCTTATGGCACGATGCTCAAAAGATCCCCGTCTTTGCACGGTCACTTGTGTGAAAGAGAATGCGTGACTACCAGGTGGAAGAACCCACAGAATAGTAAGGACCACTCCGATGTTTCCAAGATCAAGCCCATGTTTGGTATGAGGGCTGTGGGTATTGGGCAACACTGCCCTTTTCCGGATTCAGTCTATGTTGTCATAAAGTCCCATATATCACGTGTCAGGCTGCGCTTCGTGGCCCTCTCGTCCACTGTTTATTTACATTTTCGGCTTGGCAACCGAACAACGACGACAACGACTCCATCATCAACTGCGCTTCGAGTTTACGGAGTCCTGTGTATCATTTTCGGCTGCACAGCCGCAGTTCGCTACTTCAGGCGTCATTTCTCAGACTCTTCTGATTTTTTGTCGCGCGTGTTGTCGGTCGTTACCCTTCTACTATATTTGTTTGCAGTCGTACATTTACCTTCTCCCCAGACACCACTCGCGGTCGGCGAAAGCCAGATGCTGCGGTCAATTGGATCAATGCGACACGAGCCTCCGTGGTATCGAAACTGAGTGCGCAACTTGGTCAGAATGGCAGCTCCTCAACTACCCACGAAGTTCCCTTGCTGGTGTCGGGCGGTTTATTCATGGGGCGGTGAAACAGACAGAGATCTCGGATTCATTGAAGGCGACTTGATAGAATGTCTCAATGCGGGCGACGGTTCCTGGTGGATGGGAAGACTACACAGAGACAGGAGAATGATGGGCCTATTCCCTTCAAATTTTGTTGTTGTGCTCGAGGAAGACTTCGTCCCCATGCGCCGATCGATCAGTCCCATACCTGATCTACACAAGAGCAGCAGCGGAAGCAAGAATTCGCAGGCGCAATTACAAGAGAAGAAGGAGAAGGCAAAGTTAAGACGTCCTTTCAGTGGCTATAAACATGCAAAGTCACCTTCAGTCAATGGTGCAGCTGTGCCTCAACAAACTGCGCCTGTCTCTGCACCGGCACAACAAAGCCACGACGCACGGAATCCCCCTTCAACGGTCTTGTGGCAGCAGAGACCACCGTCTAGAGTCCCTTCAAGATCTCCATCTCCCTTACCACACCACGAAATTGGTTCCTCTCCCCCACCTCCTCCTCCACCTCACCGGATTATTGGAGGCAGAGCCGCCTCGCCTGCACCACAACCATTCGACATGAATGATCGTTATCAGATATTCGCCCGAACCCCATCTCCAGCACCGCCCTCGATCAATGGACATACGCCCCCAATGATTCGCAGTGCGATGGATGATGTTATGTCTTCTCTTGAGGACATGACGCTAGTGAGACATAATTCAATCCAGCAGGAAAACCCATTCAATCCTTGGTCTCCAGAGGCTTTCGATGACTTCCGTCGGCCTGATGAATCTCGTCCGGGCCCTCGTCCCCTCACTAGCCTAGGGCTGGGCGCTGGAGGCAGCACCTTCTCAGAAGCACGTATCAATTATAGTAGTCGCCATAACAGCCCTGATAGATATCAAGATGGCCCTCCTCGGTTGGAGAACTACGTCCAGAGGATGGAGAGCCGACTTCGTCGAATGCAACAGGCGCGAGAATTTCAGGACTCAGATGCGGCAAGCAGCGATCCCCCGGAACCTCCGCCTAAGAATTCACCATGGGCAGGCTCATCAATTGCAGGCCGTCGACTGTCAATGAGGAAAAGGAGATCCGCTGTTGATCTGGGGGATGACGGCCTTTCAAGGGCCCTTACGCAAAAGACGAACTCGACGAACAACAGTGGCTCAAGTAGCGGGGCGCAGAGTCTCGCCAGCATGGGTACCAACTTCTCGCACCAGACGACGATGACCAGTCAAAGCATTATGAGCGGATACTCTGCGGGTGCAATTAGCGCCACAAGTGCAGGCAGCCTTGCGAGGAAGAGAATGGGCAGTCTTCGAGATCGCATGCCCAGGCCAATGACAAGCACCGGCACCAGGAATGAAAAATGGAGTCAAATTGAGGTACGGCCGAAGACGCCAAATACAGCGGTGTCTTTCCATTCAAACCATGACTCCAGACAAGGCGCGAAGTCAGCAATTGGCTGGGAAGATGCAAATCGAGGTGCAAATGGTGGATTAGGGGGATTCACAACCCCTAAAGCCAAAAAACCAGGCTTTTTCAAGAAATTGATCGACAGTGCGAAGACCGGTGCTGCGAGCGCCAGGAGCACCATCTCAGCCAGTCAGGCAGGCAGCACTTCTGGGTCACCTACAAAAATGACGGGCATTGCCGGTGGCACGGCTTTCAATGCAGCTATCACAAGCTCAAACTCAAACAGTGCTTTCGGAAAGGACGCTGCGAGAGAGATGGGCTTGACCAGCGGAGCCTCCGGTACGTATATTCTCACTCGTCGCGACGTCAATCGATCGAACACGCCGGGACCATCCGAACGTCAAGAACGAGCCGACCGATGCCAAATGCTAGATCAGCCTGTCATTTGCCCTGTAGAAGAATTGTACGAGAATCTTCAAGGCGACGAAGATGCCAACGGACGACCCGTGTATGCGCCCTTCCAGCTCAGCAATCCGAGTTTCAGTCAAGTGGACAAGGCAGCTCGGTTTATCACAAGTTTCCCCAGCAGCATAACGGCGGCTAGTCTCGCCATGGGCTTTATTTGCCGACCGTACCGCAGTGGCGTGCAAAGACTACGAGCGATCTTTATTTGGTGCGCCGAGAGAATCAGTTGGGAAGAGGATCAGGATTTTGATGGCTACAATTTCAACCAAGCAGTCGATACTAGAAGAGTAATTCAGAGCAAACGAGGAAGCAGTCAAGAAGTTGCGGGCCTTGTGCTCGAAATGTGCACCGCCATCGGCATCCACGCGGAAATCGTGCATGGGTATTTGAAAACGCCCGGGGAAGAACTGGACTTGGACGCGATTTCTCGACCAAACCATTTTTGGAACGCCGTACTCGTTGATGGAGAATGGAGGATGATAGATGCCAGTCTCGCCAGCCCAACCAACCCGAAGAGAGCATTATACTCGAGCGTCAGCACGAGTATCGCAGAAGCATGGTATTTTCTGACACGGCCGAGCGAATTGTGTTGGACACATGTTCCCGTGGACGAGGCACAACAACACATGATCCCCAGCATCGGCCCTGACGTGCTTCTAGCCCTCCCCGGAACGGGCCCGCCATTCTTCAGGCAGGGGCTGTCAATGCATGCCTACGACACAAGCATTATCAGACTGGACGGCTTGGAAATGTGCACGTTCAGCGTCAATGTCCCCGCTGATGTTGAGGTCGTGGCCGAAGTTGAAGCGAGAAGATACCTCCGCGACCAGGACGGCGATGTGTACGAAGACGCCGACAATCTGACCAAAAAGCGAGCTCTTGCCCAACCGAGCTGGTACAGAACGGCTCCTAATACAGAGGTTGCCCAGAAACGCTATGTCATCAAAGCAATCCTGCCCGGCGATGAAGGGATCGCGTATGTGAAAGTCTACGCCGGCAAGAAAGGCTTGATGCTTTCGTCGCGAGATATCGTGCACCCGTTAGCTCTTGCTATACCGCTGTACCATTCCGGCGAGAACCCAGCGTATGACTTCGTCATGAGACACCCTACACCACACGCCACACGACAAGACCTCTACGTCGTGCAGCCGCAATGCTACCGTCTCGGAGCCGGAGAAACATATGTCTTTTGCGTACGTCAGCACGCCGCATCCGTCGCATCCACGCCTGGCAACGAACAGAACGGCTTCGACCTCCGGCCTGTAAGTCCAAACCCGCTCGCCCGGCCCCCCAGCGCAATGAGCATGACCAGCAGCATCACCGCGTCCAACCCCAGCGAATACGCCAACGGCAACAACCTCAGCAACGCGGCAGGCGTCAAGATCAAGGACAAGCCGGCAAAACTGGCGATCCAATCTCCCGGCGGCAAAATCATCCGCCTGAACCGCAAACACGAGGGGATACCGCAGCCCGCGAGCCTGAGGGAGGTGGACGGCGAAATCCTGGGCAGTTTCTGGGAGACCGCCGTCAAAGTGCAGGAGAGAGGCAT